AACAACACAATCAAAAATCTTGGAATTCAGATTTTCCTATTCTTCTCATGAAAACAAGTCAATGCACTCACTAGCCAGATAAGCTTGCTTCTTTGTTCTCTCACTTCCACCGGAAACCACGCTCTATAGAACCATGAAAACATGTCATAGAAATCTTTATCTTCTAACATTTCAACTATTCCTCAGTTATTTTCTATAGCCTGGACAAAACTTACTCGAGAAAACTCCAAGTAGCTTAGAATGTGTATATCAGATTCGCCCAAGGTTTTATCCCTTCCATTCCTATACACAATATTTCAACTCATGTCAGTCACCATCGGTTCTCTTTTGGCTGCATATCAATAACCAGTAGGTGGAATCTGTCTTTTATCTTGACATTATATATACTTGTCACTTTCAATATACCCACCTATATCACGACCCATATTTATTTACTCTGCAGTCAATAACGCGTTACAGATCTGAAAGAAATCCACCGATTGCTTCTGCACTTAAACCCACACAGTTTTAGTACTGGAAGCGATCATTTGCATACTCTGGAAAAAACCTGCTCAATAAGTTTAGCATAACCTTATTCAATGCTGATAGACTGTATAAGTTGTGCACGTGGTTGTATAACGTGTTATTAAACTTGTAATTGAGTAATAGATGAAAAACGTGAGGAACTAACAATTCATCCCTTTGACTGCTATTACGAACTTATTTGTAAATAAAAAATCCATAAACTTAGTAGCTTTCACTTTTAGTGATGACTTTCTCGAAGTCTCTGCCCATCGTCTTATCTTTCCGTTCCTCAACATAGATAATGATTTCTCATGTTATAATTAATTCTAATAAATAATTAATATGTGTTATACAGGGTGTCCCATTTTAAAGGAACCACTCCGAAATTTTCGACGGTTGGCGTTGTACAAAAAAATTGTTCAGACAATAGTTGTTTGGGACAATGGGGGCAACCTTTCTGTGAAATTCGATTTGACCTTGAGATTTATTTTCGAGGTTATTAAAAGGTCAAAGTCATTTTTTGAACAGGAATTCATGTTTTTGATCCTGGATTCGGAAAGAGCGGAAAATTCTACGTTTAGATAACGTATTATGTGTGGGGTGCGGTTAACCCTCCCCCCCTCGCTTAAGGTCATGTAGGGGTCAAATTTATGATTTTCTTCATCTATGCACAGGGATGATCGGGCAAGGGTAAGGTTAATTGTAATAACCTAATAACTCCAATACCCAATAACTCGATAACCCCAATATAACCCAATAACCAAGAGATATTTTGAATAAGGACCCCCATTTTTTATCCCGAATTCGAAAAGAGCAGGAAATTCTACATTTAGATAAAGTATTATGTTGGGGGAGCGGTTTACCCCTCCATCCCACCGGGGCAAGGGTGAGGTTAATACAGGCTTAATATTAGGCTTTGAATACATGAAGTCGACTTTGAAAATCAACCTGAAGTTTAAGCTCAAGTTCACTGTTGTTTGACCCTACAATTTTTTTGGGATATTGAGGTTATTGAATTATTGGGGTTATCGGGTTATTGGATTATTGGGTTATTTGGGTTATCGAGTTATTGGGTTATTACAATTAACCTTACTCTTGCCCGATCATCCCTGTGCATAGATGAAGAAAATCATAAATTTTACTCCTACATAACCTTAGGCGAGAGGGGGGGGGGTAAAAAACCCCAATAATAATAATAATAACCCAATAACTCGATAACCCAAATAATCCAATAATCCAATTCCCCGATAACCCCAATAATTCAATAACCTCAATATCCCAAAAAAATTGTAGGGTTAAACAACAGTGAACTTGAACTTAAAATTCAGGTTGATTTTCAAAGTCGACTTCATGTATTCAAAGCCTAATATTAAGCCTGTATTAACCTCACCCTTGCCCCGGTGGGATGGAGGGGTGAACCGCTCTCCGAACATAATACTTTATCTAAACGTAGAATTTCCCGCTCTTTTCGAATTCGGGATAAAAAATGGGGGTCCTTATTCAAAATATCTTTTGGTTATTGGGTTATATTAGGGTTATCAAGTTATTGGGTATTGGAGTTATTGGGTTATTACAATTAACCTTACCCTTGCCCGATCATCCCTGTGCATAGATGAAGAAAATCATAAATTTGACCCCTACATGACCTTAGGCGAGGGGGGGAGGTTTAACCGCACCCCACACATAATACGTTATCTAAACGTAGAATTTTCCGCTCTTTCCGAATACAGAATCAAAAACATGGGTTCTTGTTCAAAAAATGACTTTGACCTTTTAATAACCTTGAAAATAAATCTCAAGGTCAAATCGAATTTCACAGAAAGGTTGCCCCCATTGTCCCAAACAACTATTGTCTGAACAATTTGGTGTGTTGTGGTTCCTTTAAAATGGGACACCCTGTATAACACATATTAATTATTTATTAGAATTAATTATAACATGAGAAATCATTATCTATGTTGAGGAACGGAAAGATAAGGCGATGGGCAGAGACTTCGAAAAAGTCATCACTAAAAGCGTAAAAAAAAAGTTAAATTCCTTTATTTTTTTAATGCGCTAAAAAACCGAAAAAAATTTTTTTCTCTATTTCTTTATTTTGACTTTATTTTCGTATTCTTGGGCACAAATTGAAACTTTTTTTCTCTTTGGCATTTTTTTCCAAAACGTACGCAAGTCGAAGTAATTGAGAATTCGAAAAAGAAGGTTGCTTTTTACAAAAAACGCCGTAACTCGGTTAAAAAACATCGGATAGAATTCCGTGGGAGCTTATTTTAAAGGGAAAGACATTACCCTCCGAACTCCTCAAGTCGATTTGCCCTCCACCGCCTGGTTCTAAATTGGCATTGATTTAAGTCGAGGTTAAAAAAATTGAAATTTTTCTAATCAGTTTTTTTACTGTAAAAAACACATATTTCCATTTTTAAGTCTCTGCACGTCTTAAATGGAAGCTTTTGCAATTACCTTTAAAATGCCGTGCGGTTTTTTGTGATACGATGATTTCCGACCGAGATACAAAACTTTCAAGTTTGCCTTATTTTGAGGTAAGCATGGCAAAAGTGATTGACGGGCACTGTATTTGTGCATATACTTTCATTCCTGTTTCTCTGTTCGACATGCCGCGGATTAGTTGATTGATGGAGCCAGAAGCGGCCGATGACTTCAGAGGAAGTGAAATGTTGAGCAAGAAGCACGAAACCGAGAAAAACAGAGAGAAAGTTGATGAGAGAGAAACTTAAAGTCCCAGTGTTAGCTAGCTACGTTGTCGAATTTGATGCATTGCCAATTTCTCATCGGTTTATTGTTTTTTTCAGGCACGATCTCGCCGAATTTTCGTTATCGAGGATACATTTCCCGTGTGCGAAAGAGTTTTTGGTTTTTATCGTGATTAATGATTGGATCGTATCCACACCAGTGTCTTATTTTGGCACCGATACTTATGGAATCTTCATGAAGATCTGTGTAATCAGTACGCGCGACTGTTTCTTGAAGCAACAGCAACGGTCAGTAGTATGATAATTTTCACAGCCAACTATTTTAGTGAAATTTCTCAAAAAAAAACTTTCTTAAACGATTGGTCGAATCACTCGCAAATAGAAATCTGGTATCTATCTACCTTACAGAAGTGCTGAATTGGCGCTACCGAAATCGTGGGAGACAACTTCACGTAGGATTTTACATAGACCAATATTTATTTTTAAATCATATGTTTAAGTCCATGCGGGAATTTCTATAAAATTATTTTATATATATTTTGCGATTTGAGTCCAGAAGTCGATAAAGTCCTGCACAGATAAAGTCCTGCTCGAGAAATATATTGTACTGCAACGACTGTTTACACACATATATCTGAATTAAGCAAAATACCATGTCAATCTCGATCACCAACCTCAACTTACATAGTATGCTGACTGATGTTCCATATAAACTATTCACAAAGCAAGGAATCTTTCTTACTTGAGCTTTGAAGCCCTACATGATTCGGTGGTCTACCTCCTCTGGTTCAGTATCAAACAGCGCACTGTATGGTCTGCCACCGATAAGCAGTACAGGTAATTGGTAATTCTTCATTACCACATACACCTTGGGATTTTTACTCTCAGAGGCGACAAGGTTTCCAGTCATGCACTCTACGACACCTGCCGGAACCAACGAAGCTTTCAGCTCATTTGTTGTGTTCTATACAAACGGTGTCACCTCTGCTCTTAGTCCAAAATCGCCAGCCATAACGCTTGTACGCTCGATTGGCTTGCTATAGAGCTCAGTCAGTGAATGTCTTATGGCGATAACCCGCTTCCAAGTTTTTCCTCCGCCCTTTGCTATCCCTTGCATATATACCCATCACGCATTTCTCGGCGTTCATAATCGTCGCTTATCTACCAACGGCTCTCAAGTCGCTTAGTAAGTTCTTGCCAGTACTTTCCGTCCATTTCCGTCCTCATTTCTTCTGGATCTTTACCAAAAATCATCGTAACGAATTTTCAAAACTTGTTGTACATTTTATAATGTATTATTTGCAACAGATGCGCGATATTCAACGTAAAATACGAGTTTGAGAATATAATAATCCTAGAAAAACTGAAAATTATAGTTAACAATCTTGTACCTCGTATATATTTTTCAAAATCGCATCGATCAAACCAAATCGGTTTTTTATATGATAGATAGTATTCTAAAATGTTAGTTAACTGACATCAAGTTCGTAGATGACCACGGGTAGCTAAAGTTGGAAAACAATATATTTGGTCGTAATAATTTAAATTTTCTGGTCTGTGTAACCGAAATAGAAGTCATTTTTAGACCCGATATGTAAAAATATTTTAGAGAACCTTCATAATTCAGTGGTGGTGTATCAGTGACATAATTTTATGAATTAGTAGAATCAAAAAATGATCAATCAAATAATAATCATAATAAATTCATGATCTTTTGTTTTTTAGTATTAGCAGTCACATTAGTTCAATAAAAATTGTCTCACTGATGATAATTTTATTTTTCAGAATGGTAGTACTTCTTGTGGCGAAGTTGGGAGTCGAGTTAATGGGTAAGTCTAATAACATCTGTATAAATAATTCGGATAGCTATTCTTAAAATAGCATACGATTTCTGCAAAGGTCTAGTACCTGAAGGTTATGATTAATTTATAAATTTTAATATGCCCTCTTTGAACTTCACTATGAAGAGTAATTTGCACAAATAATAAATATCTGATGTCATATTTATTTTTATTTTTAAATACACTAGTGGAAAAAATTAAATAAAAAAAAATACCAAATTTTTTGACGCTTTTTAACTTGCTCTATTTCCCTTGAAAATGGTCGTACTGCAATTAAAAAAAAAACGTTTTCAAGTTTGAAGTTTCTAGTTTTAAGATCTCATAATCCAAAAATTTTTCAAGCAACATGTTCTGCTCAATCCTCATGAATACCAAAAAAAATTTTTTTGTGAAATTTTTTTAGTTTTTTTTTTTAATCTATGAACTTGGAAAAGATTTTTCTAACTAAGCCACTATATGGATCTGATAACTTTTTTATTCAGCTTGAATTTGCATTTTTGAAAAGTTCAATACCACCACCTCTTGCTGAGATATCGAACTTTGAATGGAAAAGGATCTTTTTGTCTTTAACCATCAATATCTCAGCAACCACTGATTGCACACAAAAATGAAGGTAGATTTTGAAATCTTGAATAAATTTTACAAAAAACTGTACAACTGTTTTTGAAAAAAAAATTTTTTTTTATTCTTTACATTAATTTGAAAAATCACGAAAAAAGGGTACTTGGTGGCTTTTGGGATAATCAAGCGCTAAGTTGGAACTATTAAGAAAACCAGAAATGTTAAGCGTGTCTTTTACAGTTTATTATGCCCACAAAAACCCTACAAAGTTTCAATTCAATCGATCAAGCCGTTTTTTTGTTTTATTCTATCGAATTTTTGAAAAAAATTAAAGGATCATAATCTTGAAAAAAAGGCAAAAAAATTTTTTTTTTTTAATTTTGAAACATTTTTTTTAATGACTTCAAAAAATTTTGAACAAAAACTACCGCCGGCATCAGCATTACCCGAAGCGTACCAGATGGAGGTTGCCCGGTCGGATTTACGCTTCATGTGTGTTTTTTTAGGAGAAATAAGACCCGGAGGCTCATCAGTTCCTCCGTAGTTAATGATTTCAAACTCATTCTCCTAAGAATATGTGTGCGCGTGTGTGTGTGTGTGTTTTTTTTTTTTGTTTTTTTTTGTTTCTTTTCTTGTTTTTTTTTATATAGGTGACGGGTAAAATCTGTGCGTTTATTGCGAACCTTAACGGGTTGGCTGTGAGGTGGGTCTAGGATGTAACCGTGTAAGCGTTCACCTCCCGGACCTCCTCACCCCCAGCACCGCCGTGTGTCATACTGACTAAAATCCCTTCGTTCTCCGACCAAGGCCGAAGCCCGAAGTCCTCTTTCTCCTGATCCTTTGATCCCCCGGGAACTGCCGTTAGGTACTACTTCCCGGGGGAGGTGTTAGCTATTATCCGCTATTCCTTCCTTGTCACTTCTTCTTTATGATCTTTATTCCGTCATTTCCTTCTTCTTATCTTCTAATCTGATGTCCTCAGTCTCGTCCTCTTCTGCTCTTCGCATCGTAGTTCTTGGAGAACTTCCATTGCGAAGGTTGTCACTGCTGCCCATGCTTTCTCCGAGGAAAGCATCAGCTCTACTATGCTATCTGGTGTAACAGCTGCGTTCACCGTGAGTTCCAATTCTTTCCGTCGTGTCTCATATCTCCGGCATGCAATAAAGACATGCTCGGCGTCTTCACTTACTCCTTTGCAGGTCGAACACTCTGGTGTGTCCTCATACCTGTATTTGTACAGGTATGCTCGAAAGCATCCATGGCCAGTTAGCATCTGAGTTAGATGATAGTTTACCTGGCCGTGTGTGCGATGTATCCACTTTTCGATACTCGGGATAGGGCGATGAGTCCACCTACCTTTCCTTGTTCTATCCCAAGCGATTTGCCAACGTTCAATGCTTCTTTTTCTCTCTTCATTCTTGCTCCGGTTCGCTTCGACATCCTTCTCCCTTCGGTAATAAATGTGCCTTCTCTCCTCGGCTAGCTCAATTAATGGTAGCAGCCCCGTGATAACCTCTGCCGCCTCTCTGGAGACCGTCCGAAATGCGCTGATTACTCGCAGTGCACTGTATCTGTACACTGCGTCGATTTTTCTGCGAGAATCCTTGTTCTTCAGCGCCTCTGACCACAATGCAATAGCATACGTGATGATCGATGTGATCACCGTCGTCAGTAGATCCCTTCTTCTTTGTTTGGGACCTCCTATATTCGGCATCAGTCTCGCTAGTGCTCTTCCAGTCATTGATGCCTTCTCTACTTGCTGTTTAAAATTCAACCGAGCGTTTATCATCACCCCCAGATATCGGATGGCCGATCGGGAGACAATCTGGTGTCTACCGGCTTGTAAGGTGATCGTTTCTATCACCTTCCTGCCTGTTATCAGGACGGCCTCTGTCTTGTGTTCCGCTAATGTCAAACCTAAATACTCTAAATATTTCTGGTACCTTGCGAACGTCACTCCAAAAAGGTTTTCGAGATCCTCTTTATGTTTTCCTATAATAATCAAGGTGATATCGTCTGTGAACGCCACCGGTGTTACTGCTCTCGGCAGTGTATGTCGCAACAAACCGTCGTATAGGATGATCCACAAGAGCTGTCCAAGAACCGAACCCTGCGGTACCCCCCCTGTCACCCGGTATTCCTTAGTGCCCTCTTCTGTCTCGTACTTCAGAATTCTATTAGTGAAGTAGCTAGCCACCATCTTTTGCAGGTACCCTGGTACATTCAATGTCACTAGTCCGTCCATTATGCAATCCCATCTTACTGTGTTGAACGCATTCTTGATGTCGAGGGCAGCAATAAGACAGTACTTCTTGTCTCCCCCTTTCCACCTCTTGCCAGAATTAGCGGACCTAGCGATACTGGTCACCCGCTCGATAGCGTCGAGTGTAGATCGGCCTTTCCGGAAGCCGTATTGGTTACCTGTTAAATAGGTCCCCGATATCACCTCAATCCTTCCGTGAATGATGCGCTCTAGTATCTTTCCTGCCGTATCAAGCATATAGAGCGGTCGATATGATGATGGTTCATCCGCTGGATTTTTCCCTTTGGGGAGAAGTACCAGCTTCTGCTTCTTCCATCTGTTTGGGAATGATCCCTCTCGTATGCACCTACCATACATGTTCAGGAACATGTTTGGGGCAGTTTTGATAGCCACCTTCAGTGCTATAATCGGTATACGATATACCATCCGTACCATCCGGGCCTGGTACCTTCAGGTTCCCCACCTTTTTGCAGGCTCTCGTCAGTTCATCTATCGTCATTGATGGTATCTCCTGGTCCACGTCCATGACCACCCGCAAGTCGTCTATGTTGCTGGGGAAACAGTGTCCTAACCACTTTTTCCAGCAGGACCGGACAAGTTGGCGGTTTCGTTTCTGGCTTTTTGAGCCATTATACCACCACATTGTAGGACTTTCCCCGTGGATCTCGTTCACCTCTTCTTGTAGCTCGCGAAAGCATCGCTTTTTGCTGGCTTCTACGGCTTTGACCTACTTTAATCTTGTTGTCATATATTCTTCTTGGAGTTCTATCCAGTTCCTGCCTTTTCTACGGCTCCTCGTAGCTGCACGCCTTGCCCTAATACTTTCCTTCCTGAGTTCCTTGATGTTATCGTTCCACCAGTATACTGGTGAAAGTCGGTTTACCTTACTTTTCAAGGCCATTGTCGCGTCACAGGCAGACACAACTCTTCTTATGACCTCCTCCGTTTCTTCTTCTGCATTAGCGGCAATTATTTGGCTTGAATTCAGGGAAGCTTTGAATAGTTCCTGGTCAAAGTCTCCCACCTTCCATCTTCTTGCATTGTTCTTCTTTATAGGAAGCCTCCTTCTTCCGAACTCCCAGGAAATCAGTCGATGGTTGCTCAGGTTGAAAATATCGTTTACCTTCCAGTTGTTTACCTGGCTCACAAGGCAGGTGCCAACAAGCGTCAGGTCAATAATCAATGTTCTCCCTTCCCGTTCGTAAGTTGGTATCCTTCCTGTATTGATAAGCTCAACCTCAAGTCCCGCTATCACCTCTAGTACGTAACTTTCCCTCTCGTTTGTTTTCTTACTGCCCCAATCCCATGCATTAAAATCCCTCGCTACAACCGCTGGTTCGTGCTCTTTCACGTCGTTGCATAGTTCGTACAGAAACTTCTTGAATTGGTCGGGCTCCATTCTTGGAGGGGCATAGCAACTATAAAAATATATGTTGCCCAGATTCGCCCGAAGAAAGCCCTTTCGTCTGCTATCGCCTCTGTTCTGGAATGGGGTGTTCCCGCAGGACCAAATGGCGGTTTTACCAGTTCCATCCCCAGACCATGTCTGATCATCTGGTATCCTGTAAGGGTCCGAGATGATCGTTATGTCTGCTCTCCACTCTCTTGCTGTTTGCCCAAGTAAGCTTTGGGCTGCATCACAGTGGTTGAGGTTGTGTTGTAGGACTCTCATCTTTTTTTAATGGGTTGACTCTTGTTCTTCTTCTCCTCTTTGAAAACAGCGCACTTGTAGCTTCCAACGATGTGGTTGCAGCTGATGTCCTTTTCGGCACACAGAGGGCAGTGCGGTTTTTTGACGCACTCAGCAATTTTGTGCCCGGTCTGGCCACACTTCAAGCAGAGTTCTGAACGATTTATTTGACTGTTGCAAACTTTAGCGACATGTCCTGAGTGCCAACATTTGTAGCATTTCAACGGCCAATTTTTTTCTTTTATCCTACAGTTGACAAGCCCGATTCGGATCTTGCCATTCTCTTTGATCACTTTTTGTGCATCCTCAGCCGCTAGTTTGACATGGGCTACCTGTGTTTCTCCATACGCTACCCGCATAGACTTCATCGCCCCCATTTGGATGTTAGCTTTAGTTACATTTTTAAGGGTTAACGACAGTTCTTCCTTAGTTGTCGTCTCTTCTATGTCTTTAATGATCACCTCTACTTCTTGT